GCAAAAGTTTATTTTTATAGTTTCAAAAATATTAAATCAAGTGGCTGTATCTGAAGTATCTTACATAAAATAATCAACGCAGAAATTATTACAATTAAGCCTGCAGCCGTTTTTGTTTTGGTCAACAATACAGCCATTTAGAGGGAGGCAAAAAAAAAAAATACTATTTTTTGAGCTGTGGACTTTAAAAATATTTATTTTTCAATTGTCATTTTCACTACATGTTGTAAATCAAAATGCTAATGCTATGAGAGTGTTTCATTTCATAATTAGTCCTATCAGACAAAGAACATTCTAGAAATTTCAGACATTCTGAATTAAGAAGAACCTAACCAGCCCATACAACTTTAAAAACTAACTGTAAATATAACAGGATGATAGAGCTGGTATTCCTACTTGTGGCCCTGACAACACTAATGTCAAGATCAGGATTTATTGGGAGATATGATTATTTCCCCTACAGTATATTGTGCCTGCCCTTGAGGGCATATTTTGAAATATTAAAGTTAGTGTTGTTATAATTGGTTCTAACTTTCTCAATAGTGACAGTATTCTTATGATCCTTGGGACACCTATGCTTATGGGGATAAAAGCTATAGAGCAAGCAACTTCTCCATAGACATCGCCAGCTTATTTATTTTATTACACAAATAGGACATTAATGTAAAGTTCATTTTCTTTAAGGAAAATGTAAAACTTAGAAGGTTTGTGAGGCCAATACCTATTGTGCTTTTTATCTTAAAGTAGGGCTGAGCACTGAATTTCAAAATGTTAACAGTTTATATTAGAAAACTGTTACAAAATTACAAAGCATATAAACAACCCATATACATACCTAAATTGGTATGTGGGGGAGTGAGTGTGTGTATGTGTGTGTGTGTGGGTGTGTATTTAATAGTCTTCGAATTGAAGTTAAATATAGACTTATTCTATTAAAAATAAGTTTGAAACATTCTATATGCTTAAAGTTTGACTATCTTGGCTGTGAAATGTTCATGTATATAAAAGAGAAACATAATAACCCACCCTAATCATAAATATTATTTTTCTGTTACATTTGCTTATAGGAATTAAAACATAGGAACTGTTCATATCACAATTTATGATTTCACAAATAACTTGGGGTTATGTTCCCATTTACTAACAGAATAAAAGACATTCATGAATTAAAGAAAAAAGAACAAAACTAAAGATTTCTGTTTTATAATAGTTTTCATCATTTATACTTAATACTAAGTTAATATCCAAGTGCAGAAATATGTATGTAAGTGGTTTAATGATTCTAAACTGATACACTTTGCCTGTTACAAATCATGCTGCTCAATTCGTGTTAGAGGCCTTACGTTTGGTCATTACAAACGTCTGAGTGTTGCTCAGTCTGTGTGTGCTTTGTTCCAGTTCTTTGATTCAGATTCTCTGTGTACAGCTGTATCAGATATTTAACAAGTGAGGGGTCAGAGAAGACTGTTCCATGTTCAAGAAGAATCCCAAATATCTTTATATATACCTATATATACATACAGATAGATATAGATCTATTTACAAACAACGCTGGGCTGCTTTCTGTAGGCTTGTGCTGGGCTGCCTTTCCATCTGACTTCTTCACTCTAGTGAATGGGAGTCTGTTTGAAACTTTTAAAAGAAGCTAATGCTGTCTTTTGAGAAAAATTTTTAAAATCCTCCACTCTGGAAAACTGGGCCTTACAGAATTGGGAATGTTTTCATATGGGACTACTGGGATTTGCAGATGTGTGCATCTGTTCCTTATGAGGTGCCCTTAATGTGTTGAATGTAATGTGCTGAATGTTTTTGTGTCATGGCTAAAGTATCTATATGTATGTGCATTAGACTGTTGTAAGATGTATTCTCAGGAATACTATTATTTGGAATTTGGCAGAATAACTAGTTTTAAAAAAAAAACAACCACCACAGTTGGGGAAGACTAGAAAAAATTCAAGAAAATTGAAAATTTTTTATAATGTTCAAAATATTGATTACATCACTAAAATTTAAATATTACCTTGATAACCACAGTATTCGTAATAAGAGATCATTTCTTAAGCTGCGATTTGTAATATTTACCTTACTCAGAGGAAAAAATAAAGCAGGCACCCAATTCCCATAACTTAAACAAAATGGAATCAATAGCAGGTTGCTTCTTCTGAAATTGGCGTTTTCAGTTCTCTTTTAAAGACAAAAAAAGTATCAACCTTGATAGTGGGCGCCTATTTTTCCTATTCAGATTCAATGAAACAAGTTCAAATCCTGGAAACAGCATTTTTTATACTATACATTTTACTTTTTTTCCTAGTATTTGCTGCTTTCAATAATTCTATTACATGAGTTAAATTTTTTATTTTTACAAAGTAAAGGAAGTCATTGAGTGCATTGGGATAGGCACTAAGAAGTACTAGGTCAAGAAGCATAATTGGGCGTGGTAGTACTAGGAGAAATACTGCAGTATCGGTAGTCTGATTCGGGCCTGTTGGAGAGTTTGGGAGCTGCCGATTTGCTGTCTCCATCCTCCAGGAGTAACGTAGACGGGATGGCTACTCCTCTCTTTCGGATCTGTCCCTTAGTCACTCCACTGACCAACTGTGAAAGTATCTGAAATGCAAACAGGGTGCGTATAGGGATCCCCGGAGAAGAAAGGATCCTACAGAAGTAGAATGATCATTCCAAAAAATGAATTAAATATTTTTTCTTCAAGTTTTACCGGATACTTTCTAGCGAGCACAGCCTCCAGGATATGCTGCCCTGACCTCACGCTTCCAACTCCATGGCCTTTCTTGGCAGTGAGAAGAAGCCCCACTCACTCACTTCCTACAGTGGGTCTCACTGGCAGCATTGTAGAAACTTTGTTCCGACACTCAGGAGAACAAAAACAAGTAGAAGGCAGAAAGTGTTTGGAAAAGATACATTTACATCATTTTAAGATCATTTTGATTTGCAGATGAGTGTACCTCTGTAACATTTTTTAATAGTCACTGTGACCATGGGATGAAAATCCTATATTAGCCATTTTATAGGTTACAAACAAAAATTGACTACACAGCCAACTTCCCTCAAATGACTATGAAGTCTGTTTTGAATATGAATGACCAAAGAGCATGCAAAAATGCATAGGAATACATTCTGAAATGTTTATGAAAGATATTTATGAAAGATGTTAAGATTTCTGTGTTTGAAAAATGCACATATAATAAAATGTCTAAAGACACTTATGAGGACTGAGTTTCCTTTATCCAAGTAGGGAACAGGTTATCTGATTCACAAAGATACTCAACTTGGATCCTTGGGGTATGTCTTTATTATTGTCTTGTCCCTCTCTCAACCAGCAGTTTGGCCTGTGGTCACCATCCAACTAGAGTCCTTCAGTTCCCAACTCTTCCCCTCCCCCAACTCCATTTGACTCATGATTTCCACCCCTATGTTTAAACATAAAGCAGAATGGGTTTAATGGGAGACAGCTATCCCAATTTGACCTCTTCCTCCTAGATTATGAATTATTAGAATGACTAGCAGATTTCTCAGTGGAATGGTTGGAAGACCTGATTGTCTTTTGGATGTGACCAGAAATAAATGGGTCCACCAATTCTTTTATATGGAATACAAAGTGTCCTGTCCTTACCCCATTACGATGGTCTCGGGATTTGGGCCTGCCAGCAGTCCCCAAGGTCACCGAGGCCGTGGGAGACAAGCTGATGAGGAATGTCCACTTTATTACGCACAGGTTACAGGTTTTCAAGGATAAAAGGAAGGGCAGGAGGGAGCCTTCCTGCAGACCCCACAGCCACCAAAGATGCTGTAATGGCTGTATGACATGTCTATCTCCCTAGATCTGCTGGTCATGTCAGAGGTCAAGTGCAGGTATACTCCCCTTGACCTTGTAGCCCTGTGGAAACTCACAATCCATGCGTAGGCTTGAAGGCTGTGCCTCAGGCCAAGGGGAGGGTTAGGTTTAAGCCACGCCCTCTAGGCAGAAGGGCAGGGGCCTGGTCATCACCCACAGGATGGCTCTGCTTAAATCCATCTCTTCCTGACCCAGTGGTCTTAGGCTCTTACTCATTCCTGCGTTGCTAGTGAACACGGCTAAGACAGAAAAGCAACCCAGAAGTCTGGCAAAGGGCAGGCGTTGTAGCTCGATGGGTTCAGCCTGCCTGGGATGCCCGCACCCCAGAGTACAGGAGTGGTTCTAGTTCCCATTACACCATTTGGATACAGCTCCCTGCTGTTGTATCCCTGCAAGCAGCAGGTGCCGGTCCAAGTGCTTGCATCCCTACAAGCCACGTGGACTTCCGGGATGGAGTTCCTGGCCCAATCCCACAGTGAACCAGCAGATGGAGGATCCCCAGCAGGTGCCAAACTTTGGGCCATTACCCAGAGGAGTACCCTGAGGAGACACCAGATGGATGTCTCCCCTTCTATCATTGTTTCAAACAAACAAGAAGAGGCACAAAAGGCAGGAGCAGAAAAGGAGAGCGATAAAGTAGTCGCGCCCATTTTCTCCCTAGCACCGGCTCTACTGCTGGGGGAATTACCTGGTCGTGCTCATTCAGGCCTCACAACAATCCTAAACGCTGGGCACTGTCTTTAGAGATGAGGAAACCGAGGCTGGGAGAAGGGACTTCCCTGGAGAGAAAAGAGCATTGTTGTCGTTGGAGAAGACAGGAAGGAATCCCAGAAACAACGCGGAACAAAAAGTGAGGTGACTGTCCGGGAAAGTAAGGAGAAAAGAGCCCTCTGTGCTGTTCAGGTTTAGGGCTGGAACCAAAGGTGCAGGTCAGAGGAAGGAAGGCGTGCCCTCGGCCATGCCCCGCCCCCAGGCCGAAAAGCCCCGCCCCCAGGCTGGCAGCCTCGCGGCTCCTCCCTCCAGGCGAAAGCGGCACTGCTTCCGGGCTGGGCCTCAGTTTCCGGGCGAGTCCGGAAGACTTCCGGGCCGAAGGGGCGGGACTGAAACCGTCGGCCAATCGGAACGACGCCGTGGTCCTGCCGGGCGACTCGTGGGGGGTAACTTGCACCATGGCGTCGGGCTGCAAGATTGGTCCGTCCATCCTCAACAGCGATCTGGCCAACTTGGGGGCCGAGTGCCTACGGATGTTAGACTCGGGGGCCGACTACCTGCACCTGGATGTAATGGACGGGTAACTCCGCGGGGCGCGGGGGGCGGGATGCACGGCGTCCCTGGAGCCCGGAGCGCCTGGCTCGGAACGCGGTCCCGAGCAGGGACCTCCTGGCCCCCTCTCCCCCCACGACCAACGCGTGGTCCTCCAGCACTTGGGTCTCGGGAGCGACCAGTTAGAGAAACCGAGGCAGGCATGACTTGCCGTGAGCTGCGGGTTGTGCCTGCGGGGCGCTGGCTGAGGCGGCCCTCTCGGGGAACGGCCCCGAGGTTTGTTGCACCTGCCGGGAGACTTGCCGCGTTCTGCCACTTGCTGGATTGCCTCGGACGTGCCGCTTGACCGCGTTGAGCTTCAGTTTTGGAAACTGACAAAACTGACAAATGGTGTTGAGTCACTGAACCTCCTCCCACTTTGGCATCGTTGGAGATGAAATGAGTGAGCCCAGGCTTACCGTGCCTGGCATGTAATACATGCTTTGTAATTGTTAGTTGCTTTATTATTAACTAAAATTCTGATTTTGCTGTCTATTTCTCTTCAGGCACCCTGCTCTTCAGGGAGGTCAGTTTTTTGTAAGTAATTTTTAAGCACTGTAGTTATAGCACGTAATAGTTTCTGGAATCAGGTTTTGGCTGCTTGAGTGGGTTGTAAAGTGAGGAAACAAACCTAGAGAGAACAATCCCCTCCCCACCCCCGTTAGGCAGGACTGTGACAGACCAGCTCTGGATGCGCCAAGTAGTTCTCTAAGTGCCATTGTTACTTGGCTTCTCTAAGTGCCATTGTTAACTGGCTGTGAAATTACAAAAGCCGTTCCCTTGCGTTGAGATACAGATTAATCCTTGTGTTTCTACTAGGGAAAACCATGTTCTTTTTCCTCCCTCATTCTGCTATGCAAATGGGTGTTATTTGTAAAAGACAACCGACTTCTTAGTGTCACTCTAATCTGTAGAGTGCCGATTTCCTTTGTTTTGTGTGGTTTAATATGTTGTTTCTCCTTTGCGTTCTACTCAGTCGCCTTAGCAATCTGTTCAGCTGTTGGAGACAGCTCTATAACCATGCACTCCTTAAAACTAAGAGGCTAAATGTGCAACAAGGTTAGTCAGTATTAACCCTCTCGATTTTAGTTCGCATGCTTCTGCTTAAAATTCCTAAACTGTCACAAAGGATGCCGAATGGGGTGGGTGGCTCAGGCACAGGGGACTACATTTTTTGTGCCTGAGACAGTCTCCCGTCATTAGGGGATAGAACTGATTACTGGTTGTATGGGAGTCCCCTCCATACACGCAGCAGTCGGACTTTACGAAAGTCAAGTATGAATAGATGATGGGAATCATTGTCTCAATGCACCAGTCTGGAATACTCACCCTAACCCTGGCAGCTGTGTTGGCGCACACTTGCCTGTGTCTGAGTGCTCCTTCCTGGGTTAACCTGCACAGTCTTTCCAGGTAGATGCTGTGATTAGCACCGCATGTGCTGGTGAGGCATTGGGCACAGAGAGGTTGAGTCTTCTGGTTAAGAAGTGGGGGGCCCGGGTGGAAAGCAGAATGATACCTGCTTTTTCTTATTTATTTGCTGTCACTCCTGCTACACAGACAGCTTTCTGAAAGCAGGTTCTGCCTTTTGCTTACCTGGGTGTTCTGTGCGGGTGTGGCCCGTGATAAGCGTGGCTACCTGAATGGCTGTGTGGATAGTGGGTGGGGGTCTCTGACAATCACTTGTATCCCCACCTGCGCCAAGGCACACACTGACCTTAGTAAGAGAAACATATTTTTTTTACTCAGTCCTCTTCCTTTCCCAGGAAACAATATGGTCCAGAAAAAAAAGTAAATCAGGGGTACAATTTTGAAGTCTCCACAATTATTGTGTGGTGAGACCTGCTTCTATTCCTCTTTTTGCAAATGAGGAAACCGGTGTAGGGCAGTGAAACTCTGCTGTGCTCTTCCTCCAGAGGAGGCCGAGTCTGGGGGCTGTGGTGCTGAGGCTGTCCCCGGCCAGGGGGAGGTGGCCAGCCATAGCCTCTGTGTGTGTTTCCTTTCCCTGGGCTTTTTAATAAATTCTACCCTACAGTCCATTTTTAAGCATGCTTACTGTTTTCTAGTTTCTCTCCCTGCCCTGACCCCAATTTTTCTCCTCATTAGAATGGAATTGCCTTCCTTTAAATAGCAGAAACTCATTTCTGGAAGAGCACATAATGGCAAGACAGTACCTGCAATGTGTGGCTTCTAAACCTGGGTTAGCAATACTGACATCTAAACTAATCTCCTTGATTTAAACTGGGGAAATTTTACATTAATACTAAAATTAAGAGATCTGCTGGCCTGGCCGAGGGTTTCGTAGAACCACAGACAGACTGGGGAAGAATCAGGCAGCTGCGTCTGGCCGGTCCAGGGTTTGTGCCCCATCTTCTCTGTTTTGCTCCCTGGGTTACATGCCAAGCGCCAGGAGCTTGTGAGCTTAGGATTCTTGATTCACTGGAAGATTGTTTTCTGGTAATAGTGCTGCTATGTTTTATAGCGCCTGAATCCTTTTACCCATCTTTCTTTGTCTGAAATCATAAAATAGATTGCATTATAGTTATAGATAAAGCTTAGGGGGTTAGTGGTAGAACATGATAAGATAAAATAATTCCTGTTTTGCAAGAACTTATGCTAGTAAAGTGAAATGTGTTTTTTATTGCATTTTATTTCTTCTAAGATTTTCCTTAAAGTACTTTCAAGGAAAAATCAAACCAAGGGTAATGATGAAGTAGACATTTTGATGGAATTTCTTACAATTTAGTGTTTTCCAAGCTGTGGTCTGATAACTCTTAGAAGCATTTGCTGAAAATTGAGATTGTTGTGTTTTCTGGAGTCAGTAAACTCTAGGTAGAATTGCTAAGTTCACCTGTAGCATGTGTTCCCATGGTTACTGTTGTCAGGCCAATTTGGAATACCCTAACATCCTGTTTTGGTGAGCAGTTCTGTTGGAGCTTATCCATAAGTCTTTATTTTCTTCTGAGAATATTGGCCTTTTGTTCTTCCAGTGTAGTTAGTGGCATCAGTTTTATCTTCAGTAGAACAAATAGACACGTAATTTGAAACTCAAAAGCTTTATACATTATGTTTATATTCCCGAATAAAGTAAAAGTGTGTGTTTTCTATTTTTGATCTGTATGATACTCAGAAGCTCCCCCTCCTTTTTTTAAGGGTTTTTTTGTTGTTGTTGTTGGTTTTTTTTTTTTTTTTTTGAAAGAGTTATAGAGAGAGGGCAAGATCTTCCAGCTGGGAGTTTCTGGTTGCCCACGTGGCTGGCAGGGACCCAACACTTGAGCCATCTTTGACTACTCTTCTCGGGCCACTAGCCGGGAGCTGTATTGCATGTGGCGCAGTCAGGACATACGCAGGTGTCGGGCCTGTGTAAGCATTATGTTCTGTGCTTATCTGCTTCTTGTTAACTTATTTTTTTTAGAGATTTATTTATTTTTGTTACAAAGTCAGATGCACAGAGAGGAGAGACAGAGAGGAAGATCTTCTGTCCAATGATTCACACCCAAGTGACCACAACGGCTGGTGCTGTACCGATCCAAAGCCGGGAACCAGCAGCCTCTTCCAGGTCTTTCACACAGGTGCAGGGTCCCAAAGCTTTGGGTCATCCTCGACTGCTTTCCCAGGCCACAAGCAAGGAGTTGGATGGGAGGTGGAGCTGCTGGGATTAGAACCAGCGTCCATAAGGGGGCGAGGACTTTAACAGCTAGGTCACACCGCTTATCTGCTTCTTAATCTGAAGTTTTAAGTACTCAGAGGTTTCTTCAATCCATAATCTTAACAATGATCCTTCTAGGCAAGTATTGGGAAGCCGTGTGTGTTCTCTGTGGAGCCCGACTCTTCCTAGGTGTCCTGGTTGGCACAGGGCTGTGGTAGTTTAGAGCCTGGTCTGTGCTGCCACATTACCCGAGCTTACCACCTGCCTAGGCGGTAATATGTGGGAATTATTAAGAACTCTGCCTTGTGGGTGTGGGTGTGGTGTGTACTAATGCTGATTTCTGCCCATCAGCTAAACCCAAGACTTTAACCCTTGTTTAGCCACACCCCAATCTAATCAGTAAACAAATTCTTTAAGTTTTGCTTGTCTTTGTCATTTGAGTTATTCCTTGCCAAATGATCAACATTTTTTTTCACTTCTTGCAATTTATTGCGCATCCATCTTTGTGCATATTTTTATCTTATTGTTTGCTTTAAAGCTTTCGTACGTTCAGTATGGTGAAGTGCAAGCGGCTGAGCCTGGTAGTGGACACCTCAGTGTGACACAGTGGACACCTCAAAAGTGACACAGGGTATCTCCTGCCCTTTGCACACTGAGCTGGTCAGCAGCTTTGCCTCTTTATTTAAACATATATTGTTCCCAGCCTTTGAGTCACTTTTTCCCCACCTTAAAAAAATTCTTTTTTCTTTTTTTTAAGATTTTATGTTTTGTTATTGGACAAACAGTTATATATAGAGGAGGAGATACAGGGAGAAAGCCCCTCCATCGATTGGTTCACTCTCAATTGGATTCCACAGTCAGAACTAAACCTGTCCAAAGCCAGGAGCCCCCTGGGGGTCTCCCACGCAGGTGCAGGGTCCCAAGGACGTGGGCTGTTTTCTACTGTTTTCCCAGGCTACAAAACAGGAGCTGGATGGGATGTGGGGCAGCTGGGACATGAGCTGGCGCCCATATGGGATCCTGGCAGATGCAAGGCGAGGATTTAGCCCCTAGGCTATTGTGTAGGGCCCAGAGATCATATTGTTTTGTAGTGTTCTTGTTTTCATGTTTTGTAATACTTGCTGTTTTGTCTGTAGTCCTAGATTGCTTGCTTGCTGTTGTTTCTAAACGCAGATTTCAGTGGCTTAACGAAGTTTGCTTGGCCTGCATGGAGCAGTTCAGTGTGAATGTCCTAACATGCAGCACTGCAGGGGCACAGTCTTGCCCCACCCTGTGGCTTTGTCATTTCCTCTGGCAATTTTATTGGCCAAGAAATAAAGTGAGTCTAGAAAAGATTGGCTTTTGAATACCTCTGATGTAAAAAACTTTAGGCCATAAGTGTTTCAGAATTTTTAAATTTCTTGATTTATGCATTTCTGTGTAAAATGAGATATTTTGGTGGTGAGAAACCAAATCTAGATACAGAAATATTTTGCTTTGTCTACGTTTTGACTAAACTGTCATATGAGGTTGATCGTGGAAGTTTCTACTTGGCAATATCGTCAGAAGTTTCAGGTTTTGCGTTGTTTTTTGAGTTTTGGATGTCCAGACATAGGGATGTTCAACCTGTACTACCTGATGATTCCACCATGGCATGATGGCATGCGTCTCACTTCAACTCAGGATACATTGTTGATAATGCATCATATGGGGCTGCCTGGGTGTGAGAGCGTTGAATTGGCTTTCCAGTGTTAACTGTACTGTAGCAGGGGTGTGCTGGTGCCATGTTGTCCCTGCCATGTCCTGTCAGTGAGATTGTGAATACTTTCCCTGGTAAATAAGAACTCCGACAGTTTTCTTTATACGACAGGGAAGTTCGACATACTCAGCAAGGTGCTAGTGTATTGGGGGTGGTTTTAGTGAGCTAGTGGTACAACCCAGGGATTCAGGGTGGGTTAAAGGTTATGTACTTTGACTCTGCTATCAGGCAGGTTTAATTATAATCCTACCTCCACACATTAACCAAATGATGTGTGGATTTTATTTATTGCTTTGCTCTTTAAATGGAATTAGTAGTAGTATCCATTGCATAATAATGTTTTATAGAGGAAATGAAGTGAGCTGTAAGGCCAGCATGTAGTAAACCTTCGATAAAAGGTAATTATTAGACGATGTAAATGTTCTTTACTGTTGGTCTTTAATAAAGTTTAAATATAATTAAACTGTCATTTGTATTCATTTTCATATTAAAATAGATTAAAAGTAGCCACAGGGTTCCTGTGACAATAACAGTTCTTGAAACGGGTACCAGGATCGAAGACTGTTATTGTGTGCCTTGGACAAATCATAAAGCTTTGAGATTTTTGATTTTTGTCATCTTCCCATTTCTGCCAGTCATGGGTTAGAAATTACACAGCAATCATTATAAATACGGATTTGAAATAACGGTTTCTTGAAATATCAAGGAGATACTGTTTTGTAAAACCAACCATTTTTTCAGATATTTTTAGTATTAATGTTGATGATGTTGATTATTAAATTGAAAAATATTGCAATCCTAGATAGTTCCCCATACTGCCCTTGTCAAGACAAATACAGACACTGAAGTGGAAACGTGTTCAGAGTAAGATCTTGTTTGTCTTGCAGGCATTTTGTTCCCAACATCACCTTTGGCCACCCTGTGGTGGAAAGCCTCCGAAAGCAGCTCGGCCAGGACCCTTTCTTTGGTGAGTGGGTGTGATGCCTTCTGAGGCTTGATGCGGTGCTCAGGTGAAGGAGAGGTGGATGATGGCTGAGTTCTTGTGAGTTCATCGAATCCTGTATCCCGACTTCACCTGCTTGTCCAGAGGCTTGACTGGCCGAGTTGTAGTAGCAAGCCCAGCTTGTTCTGTGTCATAACCTCGACATTGTAGATCTCTGCCTGAAAACTCTTCTCTTGGCTGGCTGCCTCAAGTTTGGGCCTTGGTCATTTGTCATTTCCCCTGGAGAATGCTTTCTAAGTGTTCTGTCCTAAATGAGTGTTTATTCAAATGTCGTTGTCACTTGATTGATTTTCTTGATAGAACTTCCTCAATTTGAAGTTAGATTTATCAGACTATAAACTCCACGAAGGCAGAGATTGAATGTCCTACTGTTGTTTTCTAAAAAAACAAACAAAGGCACATGATTGGGTCTCAGAGTAGTTGTTCATTAAATGTAAGAATGAGTTGATAGGTTTATTGTGTAGAAGCCATTTGTTTCTAGCAATGTGGAGCCTATGGGGGGGTGTGACTTAGGTTCTACTCAGTGTCTTAGGAGAATGTAAATTAATAGTTTTAAGGTCACGAAGTGACTTGCAAGTTAATTCAAGTGAAACAGATTGAATCTGCATTTTTGAAAACAATGTTTTATACAGATTTGTAATGGCTCACTTGCCAGATCTCTTGTATAAAAGAAACTTGGCAAATTTTGATAAGTAGCATAATAACACCATTTTTAGGGTTTAGTAGAACTTAGCATTGTCAGGACCAATTTAAAATGGAACTCTTTGTACTATTCAGTATAGTAGACTTGAACCATTTGTAGTTACTAAAATTATAAATTGTGTTTTCATTCACATTAGCCACCTTGCAAGTTCTCAGTAGCCATTTGTGGCTGGTGGCTCCTACACAGCCCAGTTATGAACATTTCCTTCATTGCAGAAGGTTCTGCTGGGTAGAATGTCTAGAGGATTCGTTCACTTTGCACCAGAGTAAATGGCTGCTGTCACCTCAGTGATGTGATATAGGGAAACTACTGCTAACATGTGCCGTGTTGAAATCTCCAATAATGGAGTACTAGTCTCTGATTACGTAAACTGGTTTTTAAAAGCTCCATTTCAGAGCCAGTTTTCAAAAGTAAGTCTTAATCCTTTAATCAGCTTACCCCCCAGACTTTTCTGTGGATTAAGCTGTTCTAGTGACTGTGAGAGGTAGTTTAAATAAATACCGTCATGTGGCTTCTGGCCATGAAGTCCTCTGCTGTCACTTTTGTGTCTAGATTTTGTTTTCATGCTTTTTTTTTCCTTTGATTCCATCTCTTAGTATTACTTTTCTCCCTAGTGGATTTTCTGTTACCAGTCCTTCTGTCATGTCACGCATCTGTGCTGTTAAACCTCTCAGTGTTTCTAGAGTCTAAGATAAAGATAAATGAGCTTTGTGTGCCTTAATATTTGTCTATTAGGACTTTTTAATAGTTATAATTTTGTGTTAATTCTTGGATCTTCATTGTTGGATTAAATGATAAATGAATGTACTTTGGGAGTTAGGTGACAGGTTGTGTAAATAACTTCTAAAGTTCTTAACAGCTAAGTTTTAGTATGGAGTAGAAATAACCATATAAGAAAAATTCACAGGAGAAGTTTTATTTAAATCAATGGCCTCAAGTGTGGTGTAAGCATCCATGGAAATCCTTGAGAAACAGATGATCTATCAGATCCAAACGATTTTATAATACTGAGATACTGGGTTGTGTGTGTGTGTGTGTGTGTGTGTGTGTGTGTGTGTGTGTGTGTGTTTAAGGTATAAAAGCAGCAGTGAGGTCATTTGCTGATGCCTCAACCCAAATTATTTTAATAACCAAGTATGTCAGTTGCCTTTACATTGGTTTATTTTATTTGAAGACCAGTAAAAAACGGAAAGAAAGAGCTCTTTCGTCAGCTCTGAAATGACTGCAGCAGTCAGGGCTAGGCCAAGCCAGCACCAGGAGCCAAGGAATCCATTTAGTTATTGCTAGTGAGCGGCAGGGACCCAAGCACATGGGCCATCAACGCTGCCCTCCTGGGCAGATCAGCCAGAAGCTGGGATACAGTCTGGCCAGCTTCACAGGCATCCCAGTCAGCAGCTTCTTCCTTTGCTCCACAATGGCTGCACCACTTTGTCACTGCTTATTGCCATGTAGATAGTTAGACCTCCCAAGGGAAAATTATAATTTTGGAAAGCTTGTGTCTTAACCACTGTGAGGCTGGCCGCTTCCTCATACTGATGATGCTCGTTGTCGTACAATGTGGTTGAAAAATTGTAGCTTGAACCATTGTAACTCAGGATCATCTCTATTTCTTCCTTATACAAAGCTCTAAGTCTGGTTTATAAATTAGACACAGTATTGCTAGCTGATGGTAAAATAAGGTAATTACAACCTACTATTATCAAATTATGGGACTGTGTTCTTTCAAAGTAGCATATTATATTCTGCTCACCATTGTGATGAGGTGCGATGAGGCTTGAGGCCCTTCGTTCTTTCTGTTTGGCATATCTGAATTGCCGTCACTGTTGGTCATTCATGCACTTTAGGGCCATTATTAAGTAAAATATTGAACACTGGCCCTGTGAAACCTCAACAGTCCATTGGATAACCAAATGGCTACTGAGTAGGAGATGGATGAAGTGTTTCAGGGTACTGAGGCCGATGTGAACAAAAAACTAGGGAGTGATTTAAAGAGTGGAAATGGTACCTAATATCAGAATGCTCAAGAACTGGTGATCTAAGTTTGCTGTTGGCATATTTATCAAACTATTAACTCTTTGAAATTGAGAACATTTCTGTTATGAACGTCTCTAATGGTTCATACTAGAAATTAGACTAAGAGTGACTTAGCAGTCTAGTAACTTAATAAGTGAACTGGATATTTTAAGCCATTGCATTTGTGTCATTTATAATACAAGAAACAAATACTTCACTGAATGCTTCTTCTAGTAATGTTATATAGGGTTACCTCAACAATACAAACTTTAACAGTTTTCTTTATTGGTTAAACCCCATATTTGTTTCTTTTGAATGGTCTTAGTTGAATACTGGTATTTAGAATTATTTTTGTTAAACGTAGTTTTTCTGTGACAGAAGCATGTGTTCTGCAACAAAACAGACAACTTCAGCACTGTCTGGGTTCTTCAGAGGACTGTTTCTTGGCTTGTGTGCATTTAAGCTGCCCCTCCTTATGAGTCACTGTTATGTTTTAAGTCAAGATCTTTAAGAAAGCCATCCCCAGTTTCCCTAAAAGATTTCCCTAAAAGCTTTCAAATTACGATGTTGGGCTAGTAGTCAATGTATTCTCCCTAAATCTGCCATCTCTGTAATCTGCCTCTGCGTTAATGGCTGGATTCTGTAGTAACTCTGGTCCGAATTCTTAGCCATCATCCTGCTTTTCCTCTGCCTCTTCACATCTAATCAGTCGGCAACTTCTGTTGGTTCTGCCCTTGTATTTAAAATCCTTGATTGCTGCCATCAGCTCACCTAAGTTATCGCTAAGTAACCTCGTTAGACACTGGCACTTGTCTGCTCAGTTCTGATCACGGATAAAACCCCATGGGGCCTGTGCTGGTGCTGGCATCCTGCATGGGCACAGGTTCAACATTCTGGCTGAGCCACTTCCCATCCATCTCCCTGCATCTGGAAAAGTAGCAGAGGATGGCTGAAGTGCTTGGGCCCCTGCACCTTTGTGGGAGACCCAGGACAAGCTCCCTGCTCCTGGTTTTTGCTGGGCCCAGCCATGACTATTGCATTTGTTTGAGGAGTGAGCCAGATGATAGGAGATCATCTGTCTGTGTAATTCTACCTTTCAGATGTATTAATTTAAAAAGAAAAAGTGAAAATGCTCACCTGCAGAGCTCTGTGCTTTGCTCTGTAATCTCATCTCCCTATCCCGGGTGTCCCCAGGCCCAGCCACACTGGCCTTACAAACTGCTCTTTGTTTATCCAACTTAGAATATACTCTCTGTGACAGTGTAGATTGTCAGCATTGCTTTTTATTTACCCTCAGAGACTACAAGGGTTAATCATGGCAATAGATGTTGAAATATAAGTAGAATCACCTAGTTTAACTTAGAGAAAATAAGGTTACATAGATAATACCATTTACCTTTCTGAACCTGATCTAGTTTCATGATTCTTTACTTTCATTGATGGCAAACTGTGCATTTTGTAGGAAAAAAATTGTTTGTTGATAGATGATTTATCTGAAATCTGCCAAGAGAAAGACAGATTAGATTTTGTCCTGCTAGGGGAATTTATATCCAAACATGGCAGGAACTTCAGTCTGCTGAGATGATATGAACTTGGCATTTCCTTCTGGTAAGTAGACGTGTCTTGTCTTTGTAGACATGCACATGATGGTCTCCAGGCCAGAACAATGGGTAAAACCAATGGCTGTAGCAGGAGCCAATCAATACACGTTCCATCTGGAGGCCACTGAGAACCCAGGGGCTCTGATCAAGGACATTCGGGAGAATGGGATGAAGGTAAGCCATCAGTGATGACATGATACCACATTACTCAATTGTGATGTCACTGTTCGTATATTCATACTGTCTCAGATTTGGTGGAAAACAGGAAGCGAATCAGTGAGAAAAGACTTCAGTAGGTGTTGTTCTTCAGCCTCTGAAACCAGATTTTCTAAGTCTGACATATTTGTCAGATACGATGTGAGTAACCCATTGTCCTCTGAAAGTGATTACATTTGAGTCTTAAATGTGATAGCCATGTTCTCAACCAAGTTTATTTATTTATTTAAAGATTTATTTTTATTGGAAAGTCAGATATACAGAGAGGAAGAGAGACAGAGAGGAAGATCTTGTCTGATGATTCACTCCCCAAGTATCTACAACGGCTGGAGCTGAGCTGATCTGAAGCCAGGAGCTCGGCGCCTCTTCCAGGTCTCCCATGTGGGTGCAGGGTCCCAAGGCTTTGGGTCGTCCTCGGTTGCTCTCCCAGGCCACAAGCAGGGAGCTGGATGGGAAGCGAGGCCACTGGGATTAGAACCAGAACCTGTATAGGATCCCGGTGTGTGCAAGACGAGGACGTTAGCTACTAGGCTACCGTGCCAGGCCCAAGTATATTTTTAAAATTAATATAATGGTATCAGCAATTCTTGTATTACATTTATTTATAAATATCAGTTATTTCTCTGGGTACTACTGAAATGCCACAATAATTAATACAGAAGTAACTGCTAATATGATGTAAATTTGTTTCTGTTGTAGGTTGGCCTTGCCATCAAACCTGGAACTACAGTTGAGTATTTGGCACCGTGGGCTAATCAGATAGATATGGCCTTGGTTATGACTGTAGAACCTGGGTTTGGAGGACAGAAGTTCATGGAAGATATGATGCCAAAGGTAAAAAAAATGGATTTTGGGGTGAGGCTTTTATAGTGTGTTCATTCAGGAAGTATCATAGACTCGAATGTTTAAGCATAAATATCGTATTGTGTATTGTATTCAGTTTCATAAATTAAAAGGTATTTATATTTTGACATAATACACTCCAAAAAATGAGGCAAAACTCTGTAATTTTGAGGTTTCTTGGGAGTTTTCCTTGAATGTGGAATATTTATGTTGTTTTCATGGAATATAGTTTGTGAAACTATGATAAATTCAATGTTATTTGCCAAACAGAAAAAGAAGGTGTGCCTTTATAAAGTTTGATTTCATTAAAAAGCAAGTGCTCTCCAATACTGTTTTATAATAGTACAGTTACCACTGTGAAAGATTTGGCTATTTGACTTTGTTTACTTGGTTGTTTTTTTCCCTCCACATACCCGCTTTAGGAGTCACTTATTTACTCGTGTGTATCTAGGTTCACTGGTTGAGGACGCAGTTCCCCTCTTTGGATATAGAGGTCGATGGTGGAGTAGGTCCTGACACCATTCATAAGTGTGCAGAGGTGAGAAGGCTCCTCTCCTGTGATGAGAGCATTTTCCTGTCTAATATAATTTCTGAGACATTTTCTTGTAGGTCAAAGAGATTTTGCTAACATTTTCTAAACTGACTTTTTTTCTTTTATTCAGAAATACTTTTGCTTAAATGTCTAAGCGCTTAGATAAATTGCAATAAGTGAGTATTCTAGATCATATAAATTGTTTAAAGACTAAATCCTGGTTGTCTAAGCAAGGCTAAAAGAAAAATTCTTGTTTTAAAAAAACCGAATATGCTGGATGGCAGTCTTTTGATGGATCTTTAAGTTCTAGGGCCTTTGAGAAAATAGAAAGTGTGTTAGTTATCTATCCTGCCTCTTAAAAACAGACTGGAAGCATTTTTGGTGGAAGTTGAGGCCAGATATCAGACATGGTCCCTTGTGAGTTTCCCGTTGATCCTCTGCATAGAGGTGGGATGCACTTCCATTGTGTTTGTTAACTCTAGAACAGGTGCTAGCCTTTCCTGTAGTGCCACAGGTAGCTGAAACTTACCTAGCCTGCTCTTAGTCCACAGTGTGGTCTACCTGCACTTCCAGTTCCTCTGTAAATGTCACCACTCTTCTGCTTGGTGCATACGTAGTAAGAACTTTCCCAGATACTTCTGGAAAAGCAGTGGGTCACGTGATTGATGAACATGTTTTCTTCAGTTCTCGTGGGATTACTTTTTATTAACTGTGCTTTGCTATTATGGTCTATGAAAAAATTCAGAAGTTATTTTTTATAATGAATGTTGCTGAAGTTAGATGAGTAATGGGGTTTCACTGGAGACTTTCCTCAGCTTTTGCTCACTGCCACCCCTCTCCTGCTTCTGCTCCTTTCTTTCGCCCGTCAGTCCCATCAGAGATTGGGTTTCATTTCTAAAGTTGAAATCTTAGGAAGCTCAGCTAAATTTAGACCCCTTTAGATGACCTCAAAGATATTCTTTTTAAGATTTATTTTATTTTTATTGGAAAGGCAGATATACAGAGAGGAGAGACAGAGAGGAAGATCTTCCGTCCGATGATTCACTCCCCAAGTGAGCGCAACTGCCGATGCTATGCCAATCTGAAGCCAGGAGCCTGTTCCAGGGTCCCAAAGCTTTGGGCTGTCCTAGACTGCTTTCTCGGGCCACAGGCAGGGAGCTGGATGGGAAGCGGGGCTGCCGGGATTAGAACCGGTGCCCATATGGGATCCCGGGTGTGCAAGGCAAGGACCTTAACTACTGCGCCATTGAGCCGGACCCGAGTAATTTCGTATTAACTATAATTATTGTTTCATATCATCTAAAAATTTATATGAATAAAAGACCGAAAGTGTTTTAGTATCTATGTAAACATTACTGTATAAGAATATTTCACAAAGCCTATGAGAAAATGGTATTAAAATATATTTATTGATTAAAATATTGGATTTCCTGTGTATTGTTTTCATAATATGCATTCTCCATCATTGTTTTGAAGATTCCTCGTGTGCATGAATCTCAAAATTTTTTGAACGAAAATAAGCCTGTCATTAAATTTGAATCATTAGCACCACTTTTTAAATATTTTAAAGTTTCTCATATTTTAGAAAAAACTTACTGTATTTGAGCATTAAAGGTGTATAGTTATCTAATGATGAGCAGTGATACTGTGTGTTTAAAGTTGGATTATCACAAAGCTCCGTGATCTCTGAGGGTATATCTAAAATTAATTTCATATAATTTGTAAACATTTTTCACTTTACCTAATTGAATCAAATGTTGAATATCAAAGTGGCTTTTACACAGTGTGGGCAGAGGCAAGGCCATAAACTCTAGTCCTGACATTGTTTTAGACCGTCTTTCAGGCATAACCTCGGTGTTTGCTTCTTCCAGGCGGGAGCTAACATGATTGTATCTGGCAGTGCCATTATGAGGAGTGAAGACCCCAGATCTGTGATCAACCTCTTAAGGAATGTTTGTTCAGAAGCTGCTCAGAAACGCTCTCTTGATCGATGAACCCACAAGGATCCCAAAGTTTCTGCTCATGGAACCTTTCTACTTGGGAAACAGGAATATTGACTTCCAAATCATATCACAATTGGCAGTGCTGCTTTACTGAGCTGTTCATTTCCTTGATTAAAACCTACTGTGCGTATCCTGAAAGGTTAGAAATTGGTGTGTATTACTACAGCTTTGTAAATGCAATTTAAAAATTGTGGTGAAATACCCTGTTTTTACTGGGATACTTGATTTTTATAAAGTAAATGTATGATTGTATTAAGGTAACAAACAGAAATGTGTCTTTATGCCTAGGGAGGGAAAAAAGATATTTTTATTTCTAATAATAATTTTCTGCTTTTTCTCAGCTACTTTCCAAAAGCAAAGGAAGTCTTTATGTCCTTCTAATTCCATGTCATTTCTGACTTGTTTCTCTGCTTGACGGTATCAGTAAAATGGAACCTTAAATACAAGCTTGGGTAGGATGGCATACCATATTCTTGCATCTGAAACATTTTTTCTTTTCACCTTATACTTGATTGAAAATTGTATGTGAATCCTAAGAGTTTTAAAATGTAAGTATAGATTTTTATGAAGCTCTTAATTCTTTGCCAGAGCACTTAATCCAGTTTTCCCACCCCCAGGTCTCTGTAATTCACTCAGTATTCTTAAGGACATCAAGTAATGCTCTTGTGCTAGCTCTGAGTAGAAAGGAAAGGTAAAATTTCTATTTGAAGTAGTATTGGTTGAATCCTGCTTCTGCCCCTTCCTGGCTGTTTGTCCTGGACAAATCATCCACCCATTTTGCCCTTCTCATTTTTGTGCCGTGTATAGTTGTAACAACAGTGCAGAGTTGCGCTGACCATTCAAACAAGTAACATGCATATGTTTCATGAGTATGAAAAACTTTCAAAGTAATCCCACTTAATATATATAAATTACACCTACATGAGGCAGCTCATGTATTTTTGTCTCTGTTTTAAATACAGAAGCTAAAGTTTAGCAGTGGGCTGATAATGTGAAAAGGATCTACACAGACATAGGATTTCTGGTATTTTGTCTTTAGAGTCATTCTTCTGTTTCACGTAACATTGTTTTATTACTTACCTTGTATTGTGTAACAGAATCAGATGACTGAGAATATTTTGGAGCTATGGATCTTTACCCCTAAGGATATATATATTTTATTACAAGAAAGACAAGGTAGGCAAAGAGGTAACTTGGTATAGAATTAATCCATAAGCTAAATATAATTGTGTTTCACAGACACTACAAGTCTGTTTCAGCTGCTTCATTCTGGCAGATCCTCTTAGTGTGTAGTAACAGAGCAAGAACTAACAGTGTCAGCATCATCCTTCTTAAAGCCAGTGAATTTTGAGAAATATGGTTTGAAAAATATTAACATGCATGGAACGGCAGTTGCTTGGGTTTTGAATCTACATTTAAAGTTAATTGCTTCTTAATACTTTTCATTTTGGCTTATAAAGGGTTTATACCATGAATACATGAATCAAACAACACAGGCATATAGAAAGAACTTTAATTAAAAAACTTACAATAAAGCTTATAATATATGAGATGTGACAAAGATTTGAGTTTATTTGCCTTGACAACTTGTGTTTGTCTGGCTTTTGTTTTCTTTTCCTTTAAAAATAAATGCATAGTAAAACTACAAGCAAAAGTTTGTCAGTGTTTAATTTGAATATTTTTACCCTTTGAAGGGAACAGTGTCATTTCCAATCCCTAATAATAGCTGAGTGTCAGATCCAACAGACTGGGACCCATGGGCACAGTGTTCAGTTACACGGGCACTACGCTGAATAACCTTGTTACATGACAAAAAATAATTCATATAAATTGTCAACTTTCACATAGAAAACAAAAGAGGTATAATAGCTTCAAAAGGCATTTTCTTTAATGTACACTCTTCAGTGTCCAATATTGAAGGGAAGTCCTTTGAAAAATTTTACTTCTCAATCTAGGAGGAAAGTAAGAATAGATGTTTATTTGAATAAACTATGGCAATGAATGTTCCAATTAGCAAATTAGCTGGATATTTCCAGATTAGGTAGAAACCAGTAATTCCAACTAATTAGAAATACAATCATTTAAAAACATATTAAGGTTGTCCTGTTGCTATTTTAAATTGGTATCTTCATGAGAACACAGTAAAACTCAAGCTGAGCTTTCAAAAAGTGTTTTAAAATACACCGATATTAAACTCTAGTTTTCTTTTCTTTATTAATTGTAAACAAAGAAGCCCATGTTTAGTTAGTCATTGATTTCTGAATAAATCAGTATTATGTTATCTGGTATAAGGATTTCCATAAATAAGATGCTATGGTTAGTTTTTAAAGCAACTCCCTCTCCATGATAAAGGTGTTTAGATGTCTTTTATCAGTGGAAAACTATATTTGTGAGTATGTTACAGCTTATATTTTATAAGGGTAGTTAATACATTTGAAAATAGAGTAGGTTTTTTAAAATTACATGTGTAGTGCATGTGTGTATGTATGTGTATGTATCAAACATATATTTCTAAGGCAGTTTTAATTACTACCATGTGTATAAAAAAAGGCAGTCATCTGATACATGGATATGTATGTGCGTGCATGTGTATGTGGGTGTACAGTCTTAAAAACTACTCAATTTTTATTTGACATCAAATTGCAACAGTTAATATCCTGATACTTATAATTTGCATGACAAACACAAATGACTAGCATTTGTCTGTAGAAGAGAAGGTAGTTACCCCTGTGGTGTAAGATGGAGAGACTTATCTTGCCTGTTTCATAAATAGCATAAGAGTAATATATGCAGTGTGTGACCAGAGTGGGTAAGGGTCGTAGAACAAGCCCTTGTTTTTGTCCGTCTTCCTTTTAGTCACATAGTTTTCTTAACCTGTTCGGTGTCACCTATTAACATTAGTGATTCCTAGACAAAAGGTTTTGTACTCTTCCATTCCAACTGACTGCCTTTTTGCATGGTGGCCATTCTCTGCTGCAGTGGCATAGAAGATTTCACCGTGCAAAATTGCGCTTGAGTGTTCAGTTTGATCCTTTTTTTCGTGTTGGCAAAATAAGGCTGCTGTGTCTTCATCTTTCAGTGGAAAAGCCCGTCGGTCCCACCACAGAGACTGAAACGGGAAACAGTCTCAGTTAAGTTTCAACTAATTTGTTTTGTTCAAATTCATGTATCAAGTATGCTGTAAAATTTGATTTTGTAGTAACTACTGTTCTATTCTTTTAGCACATAAATGTACAAACTGTCATTTGGAGCTAATGTCAAGTCAAAGTGGAACGTCCTGAGACTTTACTGACTTGGGGCTGAAGGTTTTCCCTTGACCAGGAAGAGGAGTGCTGCCACGGAGCACTGGTGTTTGCAGTGTAAGAGCACTTTGAGAAACCCTCTTTAAAAGTAACTGTTAAATATGATCTAATTTAGGTTTTCATTTTTATTCTGTTACTGACTTTTGCTTCCCTGAGTTTCCTGTCCCTTGTCTACTAATTTCTGCAGTCTACTCTGTATTTTAGATCTGTTCTTTGTCAACGTTCATTTATGAAGAAAGGTGCATGAACTTCGTGGATGCAATGTAAGAAAATGCTGCTCTTGAGGTAGGAACTCACCAGCTATATAGAGACAAGTGAAAATCTTCTATAACAAGAGGGAGAGAAATAGTTGTTAACATTTACTGTATACTGTGTGCTTTTCTCTGTTAATTGGATTTGTTTGGTGCTGAAACTGCGAGAGCATTCTGGTCCTTAGTAAGTGAGTAGGTAGAAGCTTGCACTGACCAGTGATACCAGTAGGTGAATGACTGTAGTTAGTGATGGACCTTGAGAATGCTGGAATACAGATACTCTGATTCTTACCCAGCATTCTAGTCTGAATTGTCTTAGGTTTTTTATCTTATTTATTTATTTTTTTTGAGGAATCGGGAGCTCCCGTCTGCCAGTTTGCTTCCTGTATACCTGCAATGGTTGGGCAGAGCCAGGAGCCAGAAACTTAGTCAGCTGTCCCACATGTGTGCCAGGAACCCAATTACTGCCACTGTTGACTTCTGCCTCCTGCAGTGTGCAGGAAGTTGGAATTAGGAACCGGATCCCACACTTGTACCCAGGCTCTCCAGTGTCGGGTACAGGCATCTTAACCAGTAGACTAAATGCCCACTGCTTATGTTAGTGGAGTTGTTATATAATGGAGATGAATAATTTCCAGTAAGCAATTTCTATAAATAAGTGAAAAAAAATTAAAAGGAAATTCAACCATGTGTACTATACTTACCTTGATTTCTTGGCTCTCTTTGAAAGAAGGTGAGCTGTGTGCACATAGATCATGATTCTCTGCAGGAAAGTCGGGAGCACCTTCTGCAGCACACGGTTGGCCCCCACTGAGGTCATCGGGGTACTCTTTCAAAAGCAAGTCCTGTCCTTCAGCGTGTTTACTGTAAGCTCTAGCAAGAAAACCAAGGCAGCAATGCAATTACTTTTTCACTAGCTCTTAACGTTTTCTAAAGCAAAGTATCGATCTATTTCAAGTTATTTGCTGACTTTTCTTTCAATAGTTCAGAGAAAAATTTTTGTAAAGATTCATCTGATGAACATCTTGGCTCTATTATTTGCATATTTCAAAAGCTTAAGTGGTAGTTTATGAAATATTTACCAAGTTATAGCAGTACTTTTTGTCTTATGACTTGGTTTGTTTTTTTTCCAGAAAATAAGAAAGGGGAATTGTTTGACCCCTTAAGAGTCTTTTGAGTTACTAGGGGATTCTATAATTATTGTACTATCATCCTTGAAAGCCTCCATTCACATCTTCTATTTCTGGAAAGTTTTATCTGTGGAATATGGAAAAAAGAATTTGAGGATCTCATTTAGCTGGGGGAACTCTTAGAGAGAGTGAATCTGAATGGCTTGTGACTTTTAGTGATACTAATTAAATGAGAAATGCCCCTTAACTAAAGTGTCTGTCAGACTTCACATAATCTTGGCTATGTAAGATGTACGTATAAAATCCCACAGTTCAGTCATATATGCAATTACTAATTGTGTTGATGGATTATCCCCCTTTCCTCAAAAACCTGCGTTGTAAAAAGTATGAGGATACTTCCAAAAGTTTGTGGGAAATGGAATGAAAAGATGAATTTAAGGGCCAGTGTTTGGCGTAGCAGTTGAGACACCTCTTGGGATGTTCATATTCCACATTGCAGTGCCTGGGTTTGTGTCTGGTTCCTCCTGTTATTTCATACCCGAGAAGGCACAGATAGATGATGGCACAAGTAGTTGTGTGCCTGACACCCAAATGGGAGAGCTAGGATTGGCCCAGCCCCGTTGGAATCAATGCAGACACTTTGGGAGTGAACCAGCCTGTAGGAGGAGCTCTATGTCTCTGTCCCCTCAAATAAAGGGCGGATAATTTAAAAGAATGCTTAATTTGGTACAGAGCTTTTGAAATCTTTGCATAAGTTTTGTTTAAGATTTATTTATTTGGAAGACAGCTACAGAGAGAGGGTAACAGCTACCTTCCATCTGCTGGTTCACTCCCCAGATGGCCACAGCAGCTGGGATGGGCCGTGCCAAAGCCCAGAGCCTGGAATTCCATCCAGGTTTCCCATGTGAGTGGCAGGAGGATAGCTTTATCACAATATTCATTTTTAATGGCTTTTTGAAGATTCCTCATATTTTAGAAGTAGATTTTAGACTAGTCAAGTATTTTATAGATTGGTGTTCAAGAGCATATTTTTGAGGTGTTTTTGTTAAAATTGGGTTACCTACATTTCAATCTCAAGTGTATGTCTACTGTTAGATTGAAATGACCACTTCATAGAGGGAATTTACATATTACATACCAGTTAAATATATTATTATTGAGGTTGAGCATTAATATTTGAAGGAATGATGTAAAATCCAGGAACTTTATTTCATCATCATGTTATTGGCCCACATACATTTTTAATAAAATTGCATGTTCAGTGAAGCACTGCATAGAGTAATACACAACTGACTGCAACTGATTATGTTAATTCTGTTTTCCTTTTTAATGGTCTCTCTCAAAATTCATGCAGAATATTTGTTTACTACACATACACTCCATGGTTAAGGATTCTAATTTTGTAAGTAATACTTGCCTGCTATTTCTTCTGTGCCACTTGCTTTGTTCCCAGAGTGACCACCTGGCTTGCTCTCTCTCTTCATATTTTTTGTGTCTCAGGGAGAAAACTTCATCAGAAAGATCTTCTATCTGGAGTTAGAAATAATTTTTTTTTTTTTGCTTTTGTCAGAAACATTATGAAATATAGGACAGGATTGAAATAGCTCTTCATGACTGTACAATGTAAGCTTTGAAGGTCAGGGGGTTAGATGCTGATCAGTTCTCCTAAGAGAACCACAAACTTTCATTTTGACTTTTCTTTGTTAGTTCATGTTTGATATTATAAGTGGGTTCATGGTATTTCCTTTTGCCATATTTTTTTTTAAAATTGATTGTGTATTGTGAAGTGCATATTGTTGTGGGAACATCTTAATTTCAAAGACAAGTAAAACTGATTTAATGAGTGACTTATCTGGAATTTTAACCTAGATAATTGTTTGGTTGTATTACTTATAAAATGTGGGCTTCCTGGTTAAGATCATCCAGAATGGAAGAACACATTAGTGGAGACAATGCTTTAAAAGGTAAATGGTACTGCTAAAGACACCACTTTGGAAGTAGCTTGGTTATCCCAGATTTTTGTTAAAACTGCTCTTATGCAATTTTACGCATTATAATTCGTTACCAGCAATTATAAAATAGCCTTAACAAAGCAGGTTTTTTCATAATTTATTTGGTGATACTGCCTGGTGTGAGGCTGTTTTTTGTGTTTTTTCTATCAACTGAAAGCTCATTACAGAAACATTAGTATATGATTTAATGTAACCAAAATGACCAGCTCACTTCAGGTATCAAGTCACATGTGTGCCATATTGCTTTTTTAATATTAAAAATTGTTCAAGTTCAAAAGAAAATTGACCCTAATATTTGGAAAATTTGTAAACTTGAATACCGAAAAATCATTACTACCACAAAAGAGCGTAGGTATTCAAGTAACCTTTGTGTTAATTCATGTAAATGGTACATTTTAATTTTACTTCCTTTTTCTTAAGTACATATTTATGCATTTGGACAGAAACATTTTTCTGCTCATTTAGTGCTTTTGTTGAAGGGATAGCTATGTTTACATAAGTAAAAAGGCCAGTAGAAGTTAGTTTCTTGAATGTCAGAGTAAGCAAGCTTTATAATATATAAATACAGTTATCCCATTTAAGTAAAAGGCAGCTTACCTCTTCACCTAAATTACATTCATCCAAAGGTGGAAGAGCAACCATCCTCCAACTGTTAAGAGTTAAAAATGAATTGTAAGCATGAATATAACAGTTTTATTGTCTAAACACAGCAAAGTGCATTGTTTTCTTAGGAATTTTTAATGGTTATACTTTTGAAGAAGAAAACAAATATTTGTATTACAAGGAAAGGACAAGAAGAGTCATTATTTTGGCTTTATTATATATTATGGGAAACAGTCTTTTTCTGCATGTCTTCATTTTACAGATAGTCATCACATACTGACCAGAATTAAATCAGAGCTATACATTCAGAAAAAAAAAGAATAAAGAGGGCCCAATACGGATTTGTACTTTGCCAGTTTCTTTGGTGTAAAAATGCCTGTGATGGCCCCTTTTTGAGTTTCCCAAAGCTTTAACAGCAGGTGCACAGAACTCCCAAAACAACCACATCAGCCCCTGGCTGCAGCCCACTACTGAGCTTGAAAGCATTGTTGGTGCAGGATATTAGGACCACAGTTGATAGTCTTAACATAAAGTATTCAAGAGTTTAAAGTGAGTGAGGAATGTCCAGATAAAACCCTGGTATCATTTAGTTTAGCTCTACCAAGAGAATTGAGTGTCTGTGGCACTCAGGCTATCTTTGATGGGCTAATTTTTTTTAGATAATTTTGTATGGTGCAGATGATGTGGCAAATACCCAAATGGCTCTTATCAGAAAAAAAGTTTCCCAGCCCTGTTCTAGAGTTTGTGAGTTCTCTTAATACCTCAAAGCAATCTGATATAAAAACAATTAAATTTCCGATGAGTGGGAATTAACTGTAGTTGTCGTGTACCTCATGTCTTTCTCAGCTTTCCTAATTCCTATGTCCACATTGACATTAAGAAACTGCTTTCATAACTGATGAAAAGTTTGGCTTACATCACTGTCAGTTTCAAGGACTGTATGACATTCAAGGACCTTTGCCTTAACTCCTTCCATCAGCCTGTGCAAAATGTTTAGAAATCCCTATGCAATAATCCCTGCGGCTTCCAAGATGTCTTCCCAGACTTTCCTATCTTATGTCACTGCTAACTGCAAAACAACAAAATCTTATTTTTATTGTCACGGTTGCTACTGTCTCATAGTATGAATACACCGTGCGTAGGTAATTCATTAATTTGATCTTTTAAATTTAAATTTCATTTATTTGAGAAACAGCTGCCATCTGCTGGTTCATTCTCAAGTGCCAGCTGCAACAGCTAAGCCTGAGTCAGCAGCTGGAAGCTCGATCCAGATCTACCCCTGTGTGTGGCAAGAACCCAGTGAGGCTCCTCACTGCTGCCTCGCTGCGTCTGCATTAGCAAGAGGCTAGATTCTCTGAGGTGAGATGCAGCATGCCCACCCCCACACACACCTTTGTCTTTTTAAGGACAAAAAGATTACTGTTGCTATTTTTAAATCACAGTTATTTTAAGTGCTGTATATATATGCAGGTATATAAATGTAACAATGCAAAAATGGCTAAAGATGCTAAAGTTAATTAGTCCTGAAATTCCCAATTATTAATAAAAACTCAGAAATTGTAATACTCATCGCTTTTTTTTTTCTCTGTAAAAGTTGCTTTCATCATATTCCCCTCACAACTATACAAATAGGGAAGGTAGGCTAGGAGAGCATCCTTTCGTTAAGGAAGGTTCTAACTTCACTTAAACTATGAAATTTTAAATTTATTAAGGAAGAAGATATAAATATACGTACCTTGGAGTAAGTATTTCCTTGTATTGGAGTTTCTCTAACTTGGCTGGGGCTACTAATGACATGGGAATCACAATGTTATCTATGTCGTAAGAGCTTTCACTTCTTAGTCTCCTTCTGGCAGCATTCTGCAAAACAGGATTATAGTGCTGCTTTACAATAGCATCTGTTTGCCTGTCGCCGATACTCTATGAATCGGAGATAATGTCAGTGTATGGGTTGTCTAATTTTGGCAAATACATTGTTATAGAATCTGACTCTAAAAGGTTAGAGGGAGCAGTCGTTTGGTGCCACAACAGTAGGATGCCACCAAGGGTGCCCCCTTTGTATGTCAGAGTGCCTGCTGAAGTCCCAGCTCACTGATTTCTAATTCAGCTTCCTGCTAATGCCTGCTTTAAGAAAAAGCAGGTGATGGCTCAAGTACATGGATCTGTGCCAGCCACATGAGAAGCCTAGACAGCTCTGGGCTCCTGGCCATGGCCTTTGCCCAGTCTTGGCTGCTGAAGTCATTTGGGAAATGAATTAGCAGATGGCTTGTCTCTGCCTGTCAAGTAAAATGTAATTTTTTAAAGGAAATGTTAAGGAAACTAACAAAATGTACTTAGCTTTTTGAAGGTATGTGTGTATTAAACACACAAGCTTGATTATAACAGTAGTATAAGTAAATGCCTTACATTGCAAATCAGAAGACTAACAGTTTATGCCAAGTGTCAGTGAAACAATATAACAAACAACATTTTGCTGACAAATGTGGACCTTCTAAGTAATAATTACAGTCTTGAGTTATAGTCCTGATCCCTGTACTTCGGGATGTGTAGTTCCTAACCCTTCTACCTTTAGAACTTTCTGTTCTGCAGACAGGTGTCAGATGACAAAAAACAAAATGACAACAAAAAACAAGTTGTGAATTCTCATCAAGAATACATTTAGATTTGTACATCCCAAAAATGGCCGTGACGAAGTTGAGGTTCTGTTTTTTAAATTTAGAGCCTTTATTGAGGCGGAGACAGAGAGTGGTCACCTGTAGACTCACACTCCAATGCCCACAATGCTGTGCCAGGAACTCAACCTGGGGCTCCCACAAGGCTTCAGGAACCAGCTGTGTGAGCCATCCCTCCCCCCGGATGTGCTTTAGCAGAAAGCTGAACTTGGGAGGCAACACTGGGAACTCAGCCCAGGGGACTTGTCCCCTTGACACCCTTGAGTGTCTTAACCACTAAACCAAACACCTGCCTCATGCTGACATTTTAAAACAGGAAAACAGGCTGTATTAAGGATTAGCCTTGGAGCAGAATGTTTTATTTAGTCAAATTTGCTGTTTCCTAGTAAGTCAGTTCTAAATGTTGCTAATAATAAGGCTTATACAGATCAGCAAAGTAGAAGTTTCTTCCTTTAGAAATCAGCTGGTGTGTTTTTATAACCTATGAAGCAATTCTAGAATTTAGTATATAGACCTACTTGAGATGATGAATTTGGGGTTCTTGATGTAATGTTGGCATTAGACACAGCAGAAAGATTGTTGTGAGATCCTGGTTCTGTGTGTTGAAAAACAAATTCTTCATATCTAGTTCCTTGTCCTGGCATGGGAAGAACCATTCAGAATTATCACACATTAAACATGCTCAATAAATACTACGTTGGAATTATTTTCACAGTTAAGTGAGATGTTTTCCTGTATTAGATATTTTATCAAAAAGAAAAGTACAGCCTTAAAACTGCCACCAATTTTTCCAGGTCTGAGGTATCTTCTCAGTTTTTGTCAAATATATTCAATATCATCCCTTCCTTTTACTCTGCTCTTATTTCCTATGATTCCCTTTAGAGACCAAATCATTAGGACTGTTTTTTTAATCTCATTTTTTTATGTCTGACTTTAAGCTTTTCTTGAGATGCTCCGTAACTACTATGTTTATCCACTTACTTATTACCATTGTTTGGTATGATTTGTATTATTTTCCTGTGTAGAATAAAATCTCATACTTCTGGTTTATATTTCTGTTTATATTTCTCAAACTTTAATTTTTTAAAAAGTCCTTTATATATAGCCAGTTACTTCAAACCACAATTTACATAGCGAGCTTAAATAAACTAGAATATATTTTTCTAATTTTAAAAGAAAAAGATTTGGGCCTGGTGTGGCAGCCTAGTGCCTAAAGTCCTTGCCTAGCATGCTCCAGGATCCCTCATCAGTGCTTGTTCTAATCCCGGCAGCTCCACTTCCCATCCAGCTCCCTGCTTGTGGCCTGGGAAAGCTGTCAAGGACGGCTCAAAGCCTTGGGACCCTGCATCCACTGGGAGACCTGGAAGAGGTTCCAGTTCCTGGCTTTGGATCGGCGCAGTTCTGGCCATTGTGGCCACTTAGGGAGTGAATCAACAGATTTTCCTCTCTGTCTCTCCTCCTCTCTGTATATGTTATTTTTCAATTGAAAAAAAAAAACTTTCAAAAAAAATGAAAAAAGATTTATTTGAAAGGAAGAGAGAAAAAACCTCCATCTGCTGGTTCACTCCCCAAATGGCTGTAACAGCCAGAGCCAGGCCAGTAAGGAACCAGGAGCTTTTTCTAGGTCTCCTGCATAGCAGGGAGGGAGCTGCATCGAAAATGGACCAGCCCGGACTTGAAACAGCACCCCAATGCGATGCTGGCATCCTGGAATGGCCTTACCTGCTACACCACAATGGTAACTTGTTCAAAGAGACTAGATCAGATTCCTGCTCTGTGGAAATTGTCTTATTTCGTTGCAGTAAGCCATTTCATTTGTTCTAGTTCAGTCAGACACTTTCAGCTCTAAAGTAGCAGTTGAAGGGAGATACGTTATATCTTTGTACCTTATTCCTAATGTGTCTGTCAACGTAATTTTTTACAAGTTTCCTGTGTTTCAGTGTGCATGCATAGAAGTCTGTTTAAAGCTGTCTTTTCCTAAGGCTGAGAAACTAAAAATAAGGAAGCATCTGGAAACCTTTGGGAATGTGTTAGCTTTGTGCTACACTGCATTGTACTGCTGTCAGGTAGTAACTTGGGGTTTCTAGAGATAGTATGCTAAATCCTTTGTTACAGTCCAGTTGATCTTGGATGTAATTGGTTGCTAATATATCATCTGTTACATCACATCTGGAAAATATTTGATGTGTATACTACTACATCCACTGGAACACACACAATAGGAACCCAAAAAGTACGTAAATAATTTGTGATTCAAAATACAGAGTTAGCTAAAAACAATGTCATGGAAAATTAAAAGGTAAGTTTTTTTTTGGAAGAACTTTTGACATCATGGACACAAAGGATCTCCAAAAAAATCATGAAAATGCCTATTATGAAAAAACTATGCTGATTACAGAAGGCTTTTATACGAGCATAAATTGAGGTTTTCATTTTCTATGAACTTTTTGAAGTACCCTGCTATCTTTCCTGTTATGTTTTTTTCTCTCGTTGGTAGAAACATATTGCAGCCATCTTGTCCCCTGTCTTCACCACAGTCCTTCCTTTGCTTTACCAGAGGAGAGGTGTCTACCTTTGACCATCTTTGGAACTATGTAGAGTCCTAAGAAGAACTGAACAGATGGCTGAGTACCTCAGTTGAAACTTTTTTAATTTCTTAGGGTCCTGAGGAATCTGTACTGAATTAATGCCTGCACAGGTAATCTCTGTTGGGCAGCCTTACATTAATGTGAGGCCATAGCACGACCTTGGCCTCAACCCCATTTGGTTGGTGGAAAGCAGCAAGCAAGGAAATGCTTGCCATGAAATAGAAGCTCAGTCCAATAAATTTGGTTCAGCTACATAAAGTTCAGAGGGTCACAGATATTTTATATAATCAACAATTGTTCTGTAGTTGGTAAGCTTTCAGCATTTAGCATTGGTGTTCTTTTTCTCATTTTAACCTACCTAAAGCTGTTTCACTCAAATGTCTTTTTTTTCTTCCCTGTAACAGCTGTGTAGAAGAGTCCGACCTTATTTGAGATTTACATGTAGGTGAATATCCATTTCTCCATTGATGCAGAGTACTATGTACTATAATGAAAAGAGAGGAAATATGAGGTTTTTGTTACTTATCAAATAAACATCTTAGTATTTAGTTTATAGTGAGAATTTTAAGCCATCACTTCAGATTTATAGATACTGAAATAAATCTTAAATGCCACCCAGAATAGGGGTCCTTAAAATCATCCTGAAGAAAGCAATCTGTTCTCAACGCCATCCAAATTACAAGTTACTGTTGGTCTCATTCCTTATGTCTTACCGAAATACAACTTGAATCCTTGAGTTTCCCTCAAATCTGGAAATCGGAGCCACACCAGATGAGAACAAGCCAAGAGCTGTTTCTTCCACCTCTGACGGTGACTGGGCACCATTAATTCACTTTTATCAGAGTGATGAATTTGCCACAATTGTGAGTCATTTGAAAACTCATCTGTACCGTAATGATAATTACAGATATTTATGGATTTTGATGTTGAAGTGAGTTAATTGCTGTACATAGATAGAGGGTGACTGCCATGGTAAGTGTTTAATGTTTTATCGTCAGATCATTGTCTGAGTCGCACATTTCAGGCAAGAATCAAAATGACTGCTTTTGAAACATTTGGGGGTTTGGAAAGATATATTTGTAGGATGAGAAACCAGACTGTCAGTAACCCTGAAATACGGGTATACTGACCAAGAATATCCTGAGATTCTGGCTTCAAGATGGCAAAGCACCCTAAAACTGACAAAATTTGTATAGACAGCCTCATGAAGAGAGACGCACATATATATTTCTGTTGGCAACCCCCCCCAATTTTTTTTTTTTAATAAAGCACGATTTGAGAAGATTCTTAAAACGCTATGTTATAGAATCAGAAGAGGGAAGCTAGAGCAGAAACCTGTGGGAAGGTACTGCCATTAACATGAGGACACCACTAAACGTTATCGTCCTGAAAGCAGGGAAGTGGAGAAGGAAGGCTATTTGCAGTGACTGGACTCCACATGCCAGCATTTGAGCCTGGGTGCTGCTGCATGACATGCAGCAAAGTCAGAGTTTGGGACAGGTTAATGGATGACCGAGGAGATCAGTGCTCCACTACTATTTTCACTGCCCTATAAACAGCAGTGGTAGGGCAGTGTTAACCCTGAACGTCAACTTCAAAGATGAGTGCGTGCAGTTGAAATGCTAAGTCTGAATATTGAAGATGTAAATTTTTACCAAATTTACAGAGAAAGGTTTCCTGTCTGCTGGTTTACTCCCCAAGTGGCCTCAACAGCCAGAGCTGAGCCGATCCAAGGCCAAGAGCCTCTTCCTGGTCCCAAGTAGGTATAGGGTACCAAGGCATTGGCTGTGCTTTCCCAGGCCACGAGCAGGGAGCTGGATGGCAAGTGGAGCAGCCAGAACACAAAGCAGCACCCATATAAGATCCTGGTGCATGCAAGGTGAGGACTTCAGCCATTAAGCTACTGTGCTGGCCCCTAACATCAAAATTTTAAAAGCATTAACTACACCTACAAAAACTCACTGGAGATCTTAGTGGAGCTTTCACAGAAAACCAGTTAACAAGTGTTCAAGATAACTAATATTTGTCCAGAGAAACAGGGTATCTGAATCATAGAAGTAAGATTTGAACACAATGTTGTGCCTATCTTGCTTTCAGTGATTTTTAAAGTCATAAATAGAGCAATATTTCAGTATCAGTGCAGGTTCACATTTTGGCTGCTCAGCTTCTTACCCAGCTTCCTACTTATCGTACCTGAGTGGAACCAAAGAGTGGCTCACGGACTTTTGTTCTTGCCACCGCCATCAGATATGGATGGAATTTCTGGCTTGTGGCTTCTCCCAGGCCCAGAAGGGAGATACCCTATCACTGGCTCTTATTTTCTCTCACTGTGACTCTGCCTTTCAAATCAATTAATTTTAAAAAGAAATGTAATCCTCCTTAATAGCATACATTTTTGCATTACCCTTTTAAGTCCTATACATAAATGTCTCGTAATTCATGCATATTCTAATATGAAACCATGATTTTATTCAGAATCATGGTATCATTCTCATTGTTAATTCCTTTTCTCAGAAGGTTACTTTCTCTGATTAGAGTCAATATCAATTAGCTCTACCTGTTAGGAATGCTAGTTTCATTACCATAATGAATTATCACTTTAATGTACATTGTTTAGAAGGCTTGTTTATTTGTATTTGAAAGGCATATTTGTAGAGAGGAGAGAGATTTCCATCTGCTGGATCACTCCCCAAAGGGCTGCAACTGCCAGAACTTCCTCCAGGTCTCCCACATGGGTGCAGGGACTTAAGGCCGTAGGCTCTCCTCTCTTGCCTTCCCAAGCCACTAGCAGGGAGCTGAATTGGAAGTGGAGCAGCCCGGACATGAACCAAGCACCCATACAGGATGCCAGCACTCCAAGGTGGAGGATTAGCCTGTTGAGTCACTGCTAGCGACAATACGATGGCCATTCCTGAAGTAATCTTCAGGCTCCATCACCAGAGAGAATTATCACTGTAATCAACAGTCTTAAAATAATCCTCTTCAGGATCAGGGACACGTTCTTCTCGCTTAGTCACAGAATAAATTCTCAAAATAATTACATCATGACAAAGGACCAATTATTTCAAGTATTCTTTATAGTCTTCCCTAACCTTAGACAGTTGGCTTTAGGCATTAGTATTTTTTCCTCCAACTTTTTTACCAGGTTAAAAAACAAACAAAATTAGATCAATATTGAACTCCAATTTATCTATCATTTAGTTCAGCAATAACTTATCACCAATCTTGTATCATCTCTCACCAATTATTTTTGCTGTAGTTTAAAGCAAAACCCACATATATCTTTTCATCTGGATACATGTCACCATGAATCTCTATTAAATAAATTAACATAGTATTGTGTATTGATGTGACCACAATGTATTACATCTAACTGAACCAGCAGTTCATCAATATCATAGCTAGTCCATGTCAATATTTCTCTGAAGGTTGCAAATTTATCCAGTTCTGATCTAGCTCCCTGCTGATTCTCCTGGGAAAGTATCAGAGGGTGGCCCAAATCCTTGGCCCCCTGCACCCACATTGGAGAACCCAGAAGCTCCTGACTCCTGGCTTCAGATGGGTCCAGCTCTGGCTATAGCAGTTACATGGGCAGTGGAGCTGTGGATAGCAGATGGCTCTTTCCCCGTCTTTGTCTCTTCCTCTCTCTCTAACTTTGCCTTTCAAATATACAAACAAATTTTAAAAACAAAAAGTTCGAAAAGAGCGCATCTTTGTGATTAGTCACATAGCTATTAGAAACTAATGTGGAAGGAAAGCTGATGTTGATTTGTGCTACCGTCTTGTGGCAGAAGGGAGTGAGGAGTTATCTCCTCAGATTCTTCAGTTAAATTTGGGATTTTTTTTTAATGAAGATCTTATAAAGTTCCATCCAAGATATTTTATAATTTGATTGTTGGTGTCTCCAGGATAACTTTCCTTTACATGTCCTAGCTCCTTATTACTGGTATTTCTAAATACTTCTTAATACTGGTATTTCTAAAAGTTATTGATCTCTATAAATGTATAATAAAACTCTTAACAGGTATTAAAGTTGACTTTTTAAGGTAAATGTGTAATCTGGGCTTCATTTACATTGTATGTCTTTTTTTTTCCCATATATATATATTTTCATGTACTTGAAACTCAGAGAAAGGGAGAGAGGCCTTTCATCTGCTGGTCCACTTCCCAAACCACTGCAGACAGTGCAACAGCTGGCCCGGGCCAGACCACAGCCAGGAGCAAGGAGCTCCATCTGGGCCTCCCAGTGAGGGGCAGAAGAACCCAGACCATCGTCCACTGCTGCTCAGGTGCACTGGCAGGAATCCGGGCTGGAAGCAGCCAGCTGGCATTTACACTGGCACTCTGGCGTGGCATGTGGGCATCCCAGCAGTGGCTTAGCTCTGAAGCAAAGGGCCTACTACTATATGACTTTAAAGATTTTCACTTCACAGATAATCAAGATATATATTTTTTTCTTCTAATTGCTTCCAAAGATATGTCTTCAATTCCATTTAACATACTCGTACTTTTTTCATTACAATTTCTGCCAGTTTTATTATATAGTTTTAAGGTTTCATTTTAAATTCCTAGATCCAGTTAGAATTTATTGAGTCATGGTGTGATGTGAGCATACAGAATAATTTTACTCAGACTTAACAATACTACTTTATTGAATGATGCCCTACCTTTCAATTTTTATTGTTTGAATCATACGACAAACTATGTAATCAGCTTTATGGATCTATTTTCCTGAACATAAGCAAAACAAACTCTGTTAACTGTTACAGGTTTTGGCATGCTGAAATATGTAGCAGAGGGTTTTCTCTCCCTGGCAATTCCTTGAGTATTTTCCTTGTTTTGTCCTCTCAGTGGGCATCAGAATCATTTTAAGTCAACAAAAATCAATGAAAACGCACTACATTGGATTATACATATGAACTCATGCTGTTCTTTCATGTTAATTTCCTGTTTATCATTAATACTTCATGATTTTCATTCCGTAAATACCATTTCTTGTTAGGATTGCCTCTGTGCATTTTTTAGGGTGCGTGTGTTATCTGTGAAAACTATTAAAAAGTAAGAACTTACATTTATTTTATTAAATTTTATTTAGTGAGTGCAAATTTAAGTGTGAAGGATATAAGAAGGTTGATAAAGTACAAGATTTGTAAATGTGACATACCAGCTGACGGAGCTATGATACAGTCGCCTACAAACTTATTTTCATCAAGATCTCCTTTTATTTCAGTGTTTCTAAATAATGTTTCAAAGTGAAAATGAAGAGGCACATCTAGAAAAATAAAAAGGTATGTTCAGTGAGTATGTTCAGTGAGTACATTCTTTGCAGATTGAAATACTAAGTCTATAAATAGTACATATTATTAGAAAAAATAAGCAAATTCTGAAAAGCTCAAACTATCAGAAGTGACAAAATACGCTTTGCAAACGTATTGGTAGCAACATTTTGGAAAATCTTGATTACATGTACATAGTAAACAAACCTAGCAAATGAACAACTTCATGAACTTTGTAAATTAGTGTGTAAGATGAACAGTGCTGGGAAATATTACATATTCGTGGAAACAAATGCACCTGAGAGATCTTTAAGGAAACTGCCAGCCGAAGGAGGACAGCTCACCTCAGCCCCCAGCACTGCCTGTTTGGAACCACAGCTCTCTGGAGCATCCGTTACATGCTTCTAACTACTTGCGGAGGGGAGGGGGAATGCTATTAACTCAAACACAACTTCTTTACGAAGATAACAGCTCTACATTCTTGTGGTGTACTAATTACTTTTACAAATATTAAAACTTATTCCTTTAAGTAGAGAAGTAAACAATTAGTAAGCTGTGTTTGTATCCTATCTCCTGACAACCAAAGAGTGGATGTGGCTCAGTTTTTTCAACAATTTTTTTCAATGTAAAAATACAATTATTGGGGCCAGTGTAGTGGGTAAAGCTACTGTTGTGGAGCTGGCATTCCCTACTAGGGATGTTGGGTCAAGTTCCAGATAATCCACTTCCAGTCCAGTTCCTTGCCAGTGTGCTTAGCACAGCAGTGGAAAATGGATCAAGTGCTTGGTCCCCTATATTCTGGAAGAAGCTCCTCGCCTGGTTTTAGTTTAGCCCCACTCTAGCCTTTGCATGTCTGTAACTGCCTTCCAAATAAAATGAAATATTTTACATGATCTGGGAGTGGCCCAGGAAGGAAGTAGTGGGCACCTCCCTCTCGGGTTATCACTCCCACTGGAGAGCACTGCATTTACATGACTAAATTAATTTCTTTGCAAGAACTGTTTAGTTTCATTGCAACCACATAACTGCTGCACTATGCTGTATAAGACACCCAGTCAGATGTTGAGGGGGAAGCTTACCTGATGGCAGTGATAGGACAGAATGGAAAGCAGGATCTAACTCGGACACGTGTTCTCTTAACATCTGAGATTCTGAAGTATGTTCACAAGTACTCCAAGCTGAAGCTGACTGTAGACAGGAAGACATCTGCATAGAATTTAAAAGTGTGGCTTCTTTTGAATGCACATTCTGCAAGAGAAAAACATTTAATAAAGACTGTATTTTTGCTTGGACATAGAATGAGAGATTGTGTAACTATTTACAATACAGTGTCTGAATCACACCAGAAGAGAGTCCTGGCTTAATAAGTCACCTTGGAAAAACAACATCAAAATGAAATAGGATTGGGCCCATCACAATAGTGTAGTGGTTAAAGTCCTCGCCTTGCACACACCAGGATTCCATATGGTCACTGGTTCTTATCCTGGCAGCCCTGCTTCCCATCCAGCTCCCTGCTTGTGGCGTGGGAAAGCAGTCCAGTACACACCAAGGCTTTGGGACCCTGCAACTGCATGGGAGACCCAGAAGAGCTGCTGGCTCCTGGCTTCGGATTGGCTCAAGCTCCAGCTGTTGCAGTCACTTGGGGAGTGAACCATTGGACAGAAGATCCTCCTCTCTGTCTTTCCTCCTTTCTGTATATCCGCCTTTCCAATAAAAATAAATTTTAAAAATCTTAAAAGAAAATGAAATAGTATAAGTGGAGAAAGCTGTTGGGAATTGGCTGAATATAGTAAGTCGATCAGCCTTTTCCTTGTCTTACAAAAAAAAAAATAATGTGTATTTCAGTAAAAAGAGAAGAATCCATGACTGTGGCCTATCTTTATTAGATCATCCTGAAGTGTTTTAATACATTACTAAGGTTTTTTTTATAATTTTCTTCTATAAAAGTCTTACATATACTTTATTAAATGTATTCCTCATTAAATTAGCCCATTCTTGTTGTAAAAAGGATTTAAAATATATATGAAATATCAAACTTTTGCTAAGCTTTCTTACTCTAATGGGTCACCAGTTCAATAGCAGGTAGAAATGGCAAAGCAATAGACTAGCTCTCCGCCTGCTGCATCAGCATCCCATTGAGTGCTGAACTTAGTCCCAGCTGTCCACTGGGACAGGACCTTGGACACCTGCATCCGTGTGGGTGATCTACAAGAAGTAGTTGGTTTTGTCTGGCCCAGCACATCTGGGGAGTGAACCAGCACATGCTAAAAATTTTTTCTCCGCCTTTCCCTCTCTAACTTGTGAGTTTTAGGTTAAATAAATAAATCTTAGAAATAAAAGAACTGATCAAAAAATATATTCTTGTTCTTGATTTTAATAGAATTACAATTAAGAACAGAAATTAAATGGATAGGATATTTTCTTATCAGGACATAATCCTAGTTTACCAAAAATAACTTTTAAAATATATTGTTCATTTAGGCACATGCTTTTTCTGAACATACTGAAATGATTACATAGCTCTTTAGTAATGTGGCAAATTGCATTAATAGATTTTAAATGTCACAGCAAACATGGGTTATTCTTGAGGAACTGCATTTGGTGTTTATCAAGTTTATTAACCTTTTCAAAGTTTAAGCTATTATAGTAGTTGAATTTCTATGTTGTATATTTTTTATTTCATTCTTGCTTTCTTTAGCATTCCACGACACACTCAACCCCCAACTCTTCACAATTAACTTCGCCGCCAAAACCCTCCTCCTAACAATAGTATTTTTATGAATCCGAGCATCCTACCCACGATTTCGATACGACCAACTCATGCACCTCCTATGAAAAAACTTCCTACCCCTTACCCTAGCCCTATGCATATGACATGTATCAATACCCGTATCCCTAGCAGGAATCCCCCCATACGCATAGAAACATGTCTGATAAAAGAGTTACTTTGATAGAGTAAATTATAGGGGTTCAAACCCCCTTGTTTCTAGAGCCCTAGGTCTCGAACCTATACCTGAGAACTCAAAATTCTCCGTGCTACCTACTACACCACACTCTAAGTAAGGTCAGCTAAATAAGCTATCGGGCCCATACCCCGAAAATGTTGGTTCATATCCTTCCCGTACTAATCAATCCAATAGTCCTAGCCATAATCACCTTTACCCTCGCAACAGGCACTGCCATCGCCACATTCAGCTCCCATTGACTATTAATTTGAGTTGGCCTAGAAATAAACATACTCTCCATCATCCCCATCCTCACCTACAAAAGCAACCCACGATCCACAGAAGCCGCAACAAAATACTTCCTCACTCAAGCCACCGCCTCAATAATCCTAATAATGGCAATCCTTTTCCCTTTTGCTCACCTTCTCAAAAGTCACATGACAAACACTGGGACTTAGGTTTCTGCATATGAATTTGGGTGAAGGGCACAGTCTGCATAGCACTCTACTACAGACCCCTAAACTCATGTCCTTCTTTCATGCAAAGTATATTCATCTCGTCCCCAAACACATATAGCTTAACCAGCCTCTACTCAAAAGGTCCAGGGTTTGTAAACACTTTCTAAATCAGAAGGGAAAAAAAAATGGACTCAATGTACAATTCATCACCCTGAGCTAAATTCTTCTTCCAAAAGGGAGAACTCAGAAAACTGAAGTGACAGGTCCTTAGCAATGCAGAACTACATGGAAAATTTTAGACATCAAGGCTCTGAAATGTTCCTCTTTCATCTTATACTCTGCATATATTTGCAAAATATCACAGCAACTCCAAATGATGTAATATTTAGAGAGGATTCTCTTTGCCCACCAGGTGAATACAAAGAAGCTTGAGAGGATGGTAAGTCAGGATTGTATTCCTAAAATGGCTCGTATCCGATTTGCTCGTATCTCCTCAAGGTTTACAACTCAGTACTTGGCTAACTTTACACAGTTTTCCCTGAACATTTCCCCATGTGAACTTTTCCTCAAGAGTACAACTGACAATACTATATTTTTAAGGGCGTTTGTCTTTTACATTTTAAATCTCTAATTAGTATAGCCTCAGTATTCAGCAAATGTTCTGGTCAAAATTACTCTGAATTGGAAAATTGCCATGTGCTTTCTGTTCCCAAAATACCAGTAAAAACATCCCCCAGAGTTACCCTCGCCTGGTATATGCACAAAATTCACATTTGCCAGAGATCAGAGCAAAAGTGGTTGCTGAAGGCAGCTCTTTGCATACACTCCTTAGACCTTCTCCTAAACCTTTATTTTTATTATTTTTATCTCTGTGCTTTGTTTTGTGTAATTTTATTCAGAGTTATACTCTACTTCTCTTTCCAGCCTTATCTACCTACTTCTTAATCATATTAGCAATTTTCTAGTTCATGAACATTTCTGTTAAATGTATTAAGCTTACTTCTTTTTATATTCTCTACAGACTAATTCCAACACACATTGTGTGTGTGTGTGTGTGTGTGTACATCTGTACTACAAATATATTTTTTAGGGCTTTGTTCTACATGCTCATACATATGCATGTTTTCTCATATGTACATATATTTTTGTTGGTTTCTGCTTTGATCATGTTACCACCATACTGTTGTGTCTTAGGATTTTCCTCCCTTATCAGGAATGTCTTTTGTTTTAAACTTCATTTATGGGATTCCTTAGATGCTTCTGCTGAGAGTCCTATAAAGGGCACATACTTGCTTCTGCTAGCAATTTGAAACAGAAGCTTACCTATTTTAAAATCCAGTTCTTAAATTGATTTTAAAACAGTTCAGAAGCATGGTTTCAGAATATAAGATGACATTATACACTCTACGCAGATTGTATTTTCACTATTCAGCAAGAGTTCAAGCAGCAAAAGACAAATGATTTGCAACTCTATTCAAGAACTGAACTCTAGTTCACCCAACCAGTAGTCTTTGAAAATTCTTGCCTCTAAGCGCTTCTCTAAAGGATTTCTCACAGATTCCAGGATTCTGGCTTTGCTTGCATTTACTTTCAAGAAAATTAAATAAAAGCTTCTATTTTAATTGGAAGATATTCATAAGGAAGCCTGGGCTTCAGTAATCACTTCGTTTTCTGCATTTGTTCATTCTGTCCCTCTATTTCATTTTGAGGATTTCCTTCATTTCTCTTTATTTCTCGCTAGATTAGCCAGCTATCCAAAGTTAAACACAAACACACACACACACACAAAAAAAAACCCAAAAACAACTCCTTGAATTTTGTTCCTAATGACTTATTCCATCAGATTACTGGAATAAGAAGTTCTGAATTGGGTCTTGCAGCTGGAAAGTCATGTTGACCTTAAACAACTGTTACCAGTTTTCTGAGATGCTGCACTACAGTTAGGGTGTAAAGTGAAGAATATGGAGCCAAGTGCTTCTAGAGGAAAGCAGTGTGTACAGATGATTAAGCTGCTTTCATACGTGTGCCGGGAAGAAAGTTAACTACATCTGTAAGTGCTACTAAAAGTTTTGCTTCTGGATTTGGGTAACAGTAGAGCTTTTCTGAGTCCTCTGCTGACTGACCTTTGGAACCGAGTTTATTTAGTCTACTTGTTATATATGTTTCCTCCCGACTTGAAACAACGGAGTTCTAAGTGCCCATGCACACAAAACCTCAGAAACAGTTTGTGCTAGCTGCACTGCGGCCCTCGCAAGGTCACCTGCTGGATGGAACCCTGAGTGGACCACAGGCTCCTACTTTGCTCTTGTTAAGCTCAAAAAAGCCAAAACAGCCACCCTAAGCAGAGAGAGAGACTAAGATGGCCCAGGTCTAGACTAACCACATCCACAGCCCCTTGCTAGGAGATGCACCTTAAAGAAATTGGGAGCATTTTTATTGTACCACAACCATGCCTATTATTTTTGTTTCCTCTGTTCATACCCTGGTTGCTTCCCAAGGCTATCACTAATCAAACTCTTCCTTAGCCAATATACCACTACCCACTAGGCATTAGGATTTCACCCTAATCCCCTGAGACACCCTCCCCCTTCAGTTCCAGTACCATGCAGCAAAAGGCAGGAATGTTAGGTTGAGCAGAGCAAAAGTGACTCCACCACCTACAGAGCCAAGCTGACACATCCATCCAGGAATGTTTGCAATGCTGAATCACTCTGACCTTGTCTCTGTGCAAAAGGTTTGATGAAAGCCTGTGCTCCAGGTCACTCCTCCCATACAAAAAACAAGGAGCTGCTGCCTTCTCCCCTTCCCGAATGCCTAAGATGTATAAAACCAAGTGTTGTATACC